GTTGATTATTCCAGAGACGCAAAGAAGAAAGATTACAGAGCACATCATATAAGTCCTTGTAGTAGGCCTAGTAAAGGTTTTCTCAAGGTCTCATGCCAATTCCTAAAAACTATATAATTTCAAAGTTTGTTATTCAGAGATATTTCAAAAAAATTTTCAATATTCCCATGCTGGGATGAAGAACCTGGTATACAAAGTATAACACTTTGTTTCGGGAGGGATCAGTGAAAGGCATACTGTGCATTGAACAAGGGTCAGAGTGTACATATGTGGGCATAATCAGGTGAAGAGAGAGCCTCAAATCAGATGATAGAGAAACTAAAGTAGTAAGCTTGCTGAATTTAAAAGTGTGCATGGATAAATTATTATATGTATGTACAAAATAAAAAGGCATGTACAAAAATGCTAGAAGTCTGGTTAAAGTAAAAACTTTGTGTAAAATATGAAAACAGGCAAACAGGCAGGATTTTTAATGCTGAAGAGACATGCTTTTTCCATCCATACACACAGCTCACTGTACAAATTCAGCAATGCCAAAGCTGACGGAACTCCCGCGCATGCAGCCTGATAAGGCAGATGTCAGGACAGATGTCAGAGGGAGAGACAATGCATGATTTAAAATCTAAAAGTATACATGGATAAATGATTATATGCATGTACAAAATTAAAAGGCATGAACACAAATGCTAGAAGTCTGGTTAACCACCTGCCTACTGGGAACTTTTACCCCCTTCCTGACCAGGCCAATTTTCTGCTTTCAGCACTGCGCAGTCATGCAATAATGTATATAATAGAGCTTCTTTTTGGTGGTATTTAATCATACTGGATTTATTATTTTTTGCTAAACAAGTGAAAAAAGACCAAAATGTTTTTCTTAGTTTCTCTTATAAAATTTTTCAAATAAGTAATTTTTCTTCTTCACTGATGTGCATGGATGAGGCTGCACTGTTGGGTACTAATAAGCTGCACTGATGGGCGCTGATGAGGTGGCACTTATGGGCACTGATGATGAGGCACTTATGAGGAGGCACTGATGGGCACTGATAGGCAACACTGGGGCAGCATTGATGGGCACTGACGGGCACTGATAGGTGGCACAGATGAGTAGGCGCTGATAGGCAGCACTGATAGGCAGCACTGATGGGCACTAATAGGCAGTATTGATGGGCACTGATAGGCTACACTAATAAGTGGCACTGATAGGCAGCACTGATGGGCACTGATAGGGTGCACTGATGGGGAATGATAGGCTGCACTGACAGACTGACATAGCTTGGGAGAAAAGGAATGCAGATAACCAGCATTCTATTTGCATGTGATGAGCTGATCACATGGTAAAGGGCTGCTGTGATTGTCCCTTTACCCAGATCTGGGATCAGCTGTGTGCGAAGGACAGAGCGCGCCTGATGCACGCAGCAAGAGGCTCGTGGGGTGAGGGGTTCTGGAAGGAAATCTGCTGATGCCCTCCCAGAATTGGATGACTGTGCTGTAGTCATCTTTTGCCTATAGTGCAGTTGGCAAGTGGTTAAAGTGAAACTTTATGTAAAATAGGAAAATAGGTGAACAGGCAGGATTTTTAATGCTGAAGAGACATGCTTTTTCTCTTCTGCATTAAAGAAACCTACCGGCCTGCCCTCCCTTGTACAGTGAGCTGCACACACGCAGCTCACTGCATAAATTCGGCAATGCTGAAGCTGATGGAACTCTAGCACATGCACAGGAGTCATGTCATCCCCACCTTGCCAATAAAAGAGTCCAATGATTAAGACCAGGAAGCTGACAGCTCAAAGTCAGTGGGGAGGTCTGGGACATGGCATTGCTGAAGGCAATGCAAATATAGTTCTGCTTTAATAAAACGGTTGACTAAAAATTCTGCTATATGAGGAGGGTTTTGATTTTGTAGGAATGTCAGAAACCTGGTTTGACATCTCACATGACTGGCTTGGGACTATGCAGGGTACCCTCTGTATTGAAGGAATAGGGTAGAATGATGGGGATGGGTGTGCCTCTATGTGAAGAGTGATTTGATAGTGAATATGGTGGACAACATTTCTGATGGGGCTAGTGAGGTAGTGGAGTCTTTGTCGCTAGAGCGTCAAAGGATTCAAAAAACAGTAAATTGTTTGTTGGTATATGCTATAGCCCCCCTAATGTTAAGGAGGAAACTCATCTCCTTTCACAGTTAGAGAGGGCAGGGAGGCAGGGCAATCTTATAATCACAAGGGACTTCAACTATTCCGATAGTGACTGGGCAGATGGAACTGTTCAGTCAACTAAGGCTTGTCATTTCTTGAATGAAATATAGGACAATTTCATGAGTAAAATGGTGGAAGCCCCAACTAGAAATAATGCTCTGTTAGACCTACTAATCACAAGCAGCACTGAGCTAATCATACACAAAAATTCTTTATTGCACATAAAATATCAAAGACCATGGTACAAATAACAGTTAAAAATTCCTTGTGAACCCACTGTTGCAAATTGACATACATTTGCACAATGACAATATTGGAAACAATTTTATATATACAAGCTTCTGAAATTGTTTCTAAGCTCACATATATAATGAACGCAGTCCAACAAATGTCATATATATATGAAAAATATACACGAAAAAGTGGAGTAAAATCACAAATTTTGTATGATGAGAACTGGCTCAAAGTTACAGCACTATTTCACATAGCTATGAGGACAAAGTGGCAGGCAGATATCAATCCTACAGATCCTAATAAGAACAAAGTAGCACACATGCACCAAATACAACTGCAGATGGAGCATTAAGGTTCCAAAACAAGTCCTGTAACCGGGGAAGTGTAAACTTGTGGAAACTTAGTTTGTCCCAATGCTTCAAAGCAAAAGCTGTCTCTCAATAGAAATCAATCCAGTCCCCCCATACCATGTAAACACTCTCAAAGATATTCATCATAGCAGTTACCAGACTGACATACACACCACGTTCTGAGCTGTTCATCTCCATTGTGCACACATCACAGCTCACTTGACAAGCATAGAGTAAATGTTCAGGTAGCTGAGTAAACAGTGAGAACCAGGGAAAAAGAAAGCCAAAACCTGACCAGTTTTACTAGACTCAGTCTACTTGCAGATCCTCTTGTTGACCCACAGACAGGGACAGAGGGACAGAGGGACAAGGTCATGTAGGTTTTTATCCTACAAATCCATTTTAGTGTATATATGACACAAAAAAGAATGAAATATTTTACACATTTCATAGACAGAATTTCATCTGTGGAAGTAGGCCGCATTTTAAGGTTAACACAAAGCATGCAGCTGTTTAGCCAAACAGATAGAAGAATATTTTTCACACCATTATAAATGAAAGAATTTTGTACACACTGCATAAGTATTTTTATACCATCTGATGGGTTTTATTGTCGAAGCCTCATTTTGTTTATTTTATTTATTTATTTTAGGTATTTATATAGCACCAACAATTTGCACAGTACTATCTATCTATCTATCTATCTATCTATCTATCTATCTATATTTTTATTAAGTGCCATCAACTCGAGTCTGAGATCTAGTAACTTGAATATACAGTATATGTTACATTTACATCAGTCCCTGCCATCGAAAGAAGGTTACAATCTCAGTTCCTTGACTGCAATTCCTATATACACATACTATTGCCAATTTAGACTGGAGCCAATTAACCTACCAGCATGTCTTTGGAGTTTGGGAGGAAAACAGAGTACCCCCAGGAAACCCATGCACGCACAGGGAGAAAATGCAAACTCCATGCATGAAGTGTCATAGCTGAGATTTAAACCAACAGCCTTAGGGCTGCCAGCACAGTAGTGTCAGTGGTTGGAACTCCTTTCTTACAGCACTAAGGTCATGAGCTTCAATCCCAACCACAATCCAGCCTGCATGGAGTTTGCATGTTGTCCATGTGTTTGTGTGGGTTTCCTCCATGCTGGTAGGTTATTTGGTTGTTGTCAAAATTGGCCCTAGTATGTGTTTGATTGCATGCATACATTTTCAGCACTACATAAATATCTGCTTGTGTGTGCTGTATACAGTTTATCCTGGTTTAGTCCTGGAGCAACACAATTAAGTTTGATGTTACTTTTTTGAAGATTACAGTAGAATTAATATGCTTATGCTGCACATGTCATATGCAATATTTACACAGTTTATTTTAGACCTCATTTGCTAGACCGCATTTCATAGTTACATAGTTTACAAAAAAAGACACATGCCCTTCCAAATCAAATTATCTGTATGTAATTATCCTCTAAAAATGACCATCTGATCTTCTGCCTAAGGAAGACATTATTTTAAGCTGTTGACACTCTGAGCTAGTACCACTTTCTGGGGGATGGAGTTCTACATTTTCTGCTTTAACTGTAACAATCCCTCTCTACAATATAAGTTGAAACCTTTTTTCTTCTATCCTCAAATTATGGTCTCATGTCCCCCTCAGGGACCTTGTACAGTTAGACAGACCATAAACAGTTTACTACAGTTGCTTGAGTCATCTTTAACCACTTGCCTACAGGGCACTTATACCCCCTTCCTGCCCAGGCCAATTTTCAGCTTTCAGTGCTGTCACACTTTGAATGACAATTGCGCGGTCATGCAACACTGTACCCATATGAAATTTTTATAATTTGTTTTGAGACAGATAGAGCTTTCTTTTGATGGTATTTAATCACCTCTTTCTGTTAGTTTCTGTTATAAAATTTTGTAAATAAGTGATTTTTCTCCTTCACTGATGTGCGCTAATGAGGCTGCAGTGATGGGCACTGATAGGCTGCACTGATGGGCACTAATAGGAGGCACTTATGGGCACTGATAAGGAGGCACTGGTAGGTGGCACTGATGGGCATTGACAGGCATCACTGATGGGCTTTGCAAGACTCATATATGGCACTGATAGGTGGCACTCATAGGCGGCACTGACTGGCACTGATAGGCGGCACTCACTGGCACTGTTAGGTGGCACTGACTGGCACTGTTAGGTGGCACTGATAGGCAGAACTGGCTGGCACTGATAGGCAGCACTGACTGGCACTGATGGGTGGCACTGATTGGCAGCACTGATAGGTGGCACAGACTGGCATTGATAGGTGGCACTGAAAGGCAGCTCAGATGGGCACTGATATGTGTCATTGATGTGGCACTGATGGGCACTGGCAGGTGGCATTGATAAGCACTGACAGCTGGCATTGATGGACACTGACAGGTGGCACTGATGGGGCTACACTGATCATCAGGGCACTCTGATCATCAGTGCCCTGATGATCAGTGTACATGTCCCCTCTGAGGAATGCTGATTACCAGCTCTCCTCTCCTCACAAGCTGTCTGCGTGACAGCTCGTGAGGAGAGAAATGCAGATAACCGGCATTTTCTTATTTACATGCGATCAGCTGTGATTGGACGCAGCTGATCACATGACAGAGCCGACATCTTTGGCTCTTTCTTTTGATCGGTGACCCGCTGTGTGTGAGGGACTCAGAGCACAACCGATCGCCATGCTGCGTGCCCCCGGAGCCGCATATGCGCGGTTAAAGTGGGAGGACATCATATGACGTCCTCCCAGGACGAGAGAACCGTCTTGCGGTTAATATACTGTATTTGTACATTGTAATTATATTCCCACTTTAGTGCCTTTTCCCCAGAAAGAATAACTGTAATCTAAGTAATTGATCCTCATAGCTGAGGTCCTCCATCCCTCTTATTCATTTTGTTGCTCTTCTATTAACTCTTTCTAATTTAACAATGTCTTTCCTAACAATTGGTAACCAAAAGTGAACTTTATATTGAAGACGAGGCAGTGTTTGGTAAATGGGCAGAATTATTGAATTATCTCATGATGCCCTTTTTAATGCATGAGAGTATTTTGCTAGCTTTGTTAGCTGTGGCTTGGCTCTGCATGCCATTGTAAACCCCAGATCCTTTTCCATCACCGATTCTTCCAGAAGAGCCCCTCCTAATGTGTATTGTGCATTGTATTCTTGGCACCCAAGTGCATAACTTTATATTTCTTAATATTGAACCTTGTCTGCCATGTAGCTGCCAAACCCCCTATTTTATCAAGATCTTCCTGTCATTATGCTATATACTGTGCCAAATGTATTTCATTATATAATTTGGTATCAACAGCAAACACTGAAATTTAATTCTTGATTCCAATATCTATATCATTAATAAATAAATTGAACAGCATTGGCCAGACAGAACTTTGAGGCACACACTCACAACTTTAAACCATTCAGAGAATGAGTAATTTCATTACTCTCTGGAACCTTTCATGTAACTAGTTTCCTATGCATGTGCATACAATTTCATCAACTTCAACAGATCTTAACTTATATATTAAACGTTTAAGAAGTACAATCAAATGCTTCATAAAAATCTAGATAAACTATGTCCACTGGACTTTCACCATCCAATTTCTCAATTACTTCCACATAGAACAATATATAGGTTGGTCTGACAAGAATGGTCTTTCATGAATACATTCTAGTTGTCACTTATATCTTTGCTGCAGTTAAATGTCTGAATAGAGTATCTTATCATTTCCTCAAATACCTTACATACTATTGATGTTAGGTTGATTGGTCTGTGGTTTACTGGTATACATCTCAAACATTTTCTTGTAAATTGGTACTACATTTGCTCTATGTCAATTAGTTGGTACCATTCCAGTGAGTAAGGTGTCTTTAAAAATTGCTGATCTCCTCATTTCTCTGCAAGCTGTCCCTGGACAACATCCTCCTCACTGATGTAGTTGCCTCATACCTGGTCAGAGGCCAATGTGACGAGAGGGCTTCCCTTGTGGCTAAGTGCCAAGCACCCCTAAAGCTGAGAAAAGAGAGTGCTAGGCACAAAGAAGCATGGATACCATTTAGGTAGATCTTCTGGAAGCTACTTGCAGTATAGTCAGCCAGATATCTTTCAGCTAGTTTGCTCGAGTTGATGGCAGGACCCCTGGCGAGATACCAAAACAAGGACAGCGACCACTGGCAAGGTGGCACCCGAGGAAGAAGCAGGATCAGGCTGGCAGAAACGGACTGAAGAAGCAAAGTCAGGATGGCAGCCAAAGTCATACATAGGAAGGCAAGCCAGAGAGTAGGCAGGAGCGTGGTCAAGAACAGAGTCGAGGTAATTCACAGGAGTCCAGTGCAGCAAGCATAGGAGTAGTCAAGAGCAAGTCAGAGTCATGCATGGTAGAACAAGAGAAGCAGGGCCTTATAGCAAGCCAGGGTCAAAATCAGGGATCAGGCAGCAGGGAAGTCCATAAGCAAGTCAGTTTGGTAACAGATAATCCAACGAACACAGGAAAAACAGGAGCAAGGAGTACTAGTAGATGAAGACCATCCAGCAAAGTTTGAGTGCAGCCACTGTCCTTATATGGGGCTTTTGAGAGCAGTTCTAGCAGCAAGCAGGTGTGCGTGAACGTGTGGCAGTGCAAATATTCGTGCTGACGCATACGTTCGTGGGCATGCACGCATTTCTGTGCAAACAAGCACAGCCATGTAAAGTATTGGCAACTATGCCAGGTCTTTTGCTCAGCAAATGTTTATTTTTATTCTGCTGTCTTCTTTTCAGCACATGCTCATGTTTGTTCTTAAAAGCACCCTGGCAGTAGTGTCCGCTCATTTGCTATGTGTGGTTTTACAGACAGACAGACAAAAGAGCAAAGTGCGCAGACTAAGTGTAGTGGTAGTATGAACATGATTAAAGGAAACAATTAGCAACTGTCATGAAGTAAAATGAATTGTGCTTATCATGGTTCTTAAAAAGATACCCAGTTTGGGAGGACACCAAAGAAACGGTCACAATGGATGCACTGGATATGGTCTGGATGGCACCTACAGCAGCTAAGAGAGATGGGGGGGGGGGGGCGCCAATCTAAGTGCAGCAAGGTGGAGGTGTTCACACAGCATGCAATAGTTAGAAACTCACCGTGTGTGGATGATCTCATGTATTACAGTCATTCGTGCATCTGCAGCTGAAAGGAGGAGGAGCAGGTATATATAAATGGATCACAGGGGAGGACAGGAAGTTACAAAACAGGATGTGTCATTGAGGGTGTGGCTATGCGTTTCAATGCCCACCCTCTTTTTTCAGCCAGCTATTAAATGTGCTGCCCAACCACTGATTTGACCAGAAGATGTACAATCTGCTCACCCCCTACAAGGTGCATGTCAATAACTTCTCCATTTAGGTCTCCCAGGCAGTAAGGGACTGCATAACTGTATTAGCAGCTATGGCAATAGGGGACTGAGAATGTGATAGTTTGATGCACTTGTGGGGATTTTGTACAGTAAATTGAACTGAAGTGATGTGATGATGTTTATTTGTCATCAACTAGTTTATGCTACTGATACCCCCACCACACACACACACACCCTTAAAAAAACCCTCAAAAATAATATAAAAATAAAATATACCAACAAATTTAAACCCATTTTCATAAAAAAGGAATATAAAAATTAAAGCAAGAAAACCGATAAAACACCCCTAAAAATAGCACCCCATGTAGCTCACCACATTACAATTCATTGTAATGTAGCACTGGCAATGTACTGCACTGTATAAATATAGCACTGTACAGTTCTGTAGGTGATACAATAGCACTGTGAAGTAGCGCTGACACAATTATCTCCCTCTGTACTGCATATATGTGGTCTTTGGTACATACGCCATAATAGATAAGCAATCCTTTTACAGACTTGTATGTAAAAGGCTCCTCCATTAAGTTCTATTAAGAAAAGGTCATGCATGCACAGTACCAAAAGGCCTAGCATAGTCTGGGGTTCATGGTTCTGGTCACCTACCCTTTTTATGTCTCTTACAGGAATATAGTTAGCATGGGAAAGAAATACCTAAAGTTATTTTAGTCTAAAGTATTGTTGTCCTTTAGTGTGATTAAAGCAGCCACAAATGCTATCAGTACATGAAGAGCACACATTTGTAGCTCACTGCACAGTAGAGAAACATTAGATTAGGGGTGCTCAACCTTTTAAAAGCACTGACCACTTAAATGATTTGCCAGCTGGTTTCAGGCCACAATTGAATGATATGGTTCAGAATTTCATTTTTTTTTATTTTGAATAGCATAGTAAATATTATTTTTCCTGCAGCCTCTGAAATGCTGTCAGGAGAGGAGAAGAAGCCAACTTTCAGTGGTTGCAGGAGGAAAATGGAGAGGATCACTTCCTTTATATGCGTCCCTATCTCCCCTCTAGTCCAAGTTTAAAACAGAATGCGACAGGGAGGCTGCACAGACCTCCTGGAGCTTGGAGCAGGGTCACCATTGCACCCCTGACGATACATTAATGGTTAGGGACGTACACATATCAACTATATACCTTTTAACGTATAAACTATAACTTTATACCGCCCCCAAAAATGCAAATGTAAACAAGCTGTTGCTGTCCTGAGCCCCCTATAGGGCTCCTGTCCTGCACCTATGGCTTTCTTCCAGGTTAGCTGCGCTTTGCCATAGACTTCTAATATATCTTGCAGGTGTGGTGCACTTTTTGAAAGCGCACCAAAAAAAAGCAGCACATAATAGAAGTGAACTTCCCTGATATGAAGTTGAGGGCCTCATCAGAGGGCTCTGAGAGCCACATGTGGCCCGCGGGCCACAGATTGAGCCCCCCTGCATTAGACCACAATTATGTTTGTGACATGTACAGTAGCTCTGTAGAGCCTCTATGGACAAGTTTCTTGTTGTGTCAGTACCAAGGGCGGACTGACCATTTGGAAACTTGGGCACTGCCCGAGGGCCCGGGGTCAGTAGGGGGCCCCATGAGATGCCCCTGGTACCAGTAGGGGGCCCCATGATCCCCTATTGCCCGGGGGCCCCATCAGTTGTCAGTCCGCCCCTGGTCAGTACAGTGCTGATTGTAACTATTCTGACATGTTTCTGGTTGTGTCAATACTGTACTCATTTAGGGACATTTATCAAGAAAAATAGCCTTCCAGTTAACAAAGTCTACAGTATGTGACAGTTTTTTGTGTGTATTTGCAACCCTACACTTGCAATCCTGGGCAGCAAACTGCAACAGTTTTACCTCTGGAGATGAGAGAGATTTTATCATCAGAAGACAGATTCTCACCTAAACCAGGCATACAAAGCAGGGGCAGATTTTTTACTTGTGGTAGTGCTATTTTAGGCTGCTAAGGGGGAATATATGAATGAAACTGTCTAAGGCAGGCCAGAAACAATGCAATTTTCTTTCCTGCAATCACAGGTTGCAGGAAAGAAAATCCCTCTATCCCCACATCAACACAGTTAGTGTTGATGGAGGAATCCCTCTCTCGGTGCTACTGTGTATTTCTTGCGGGGGGGGGGGTTGCGGAGTGTGTCCCCGCCGGGAAAACACAATGATTATTGATAACGGCTATAGCCACTGGCAATAACTGCACAATAATTGATCAATACTTGAACAGGATGGTTGTACAAGTCATACAACAATCTCACTGAGCTCAATCAGCCTATCCATAA